TAATTTTTTTCCCCCCTCAATTTTTTTTATATTTTGGGGGCAAAACGAAATTTTATAGGGGGTTTTTAGTATTTTATAGGGGTAAAATTTATAAAATTTATAAAATTTTTAGACCAGGAAGATTTTTCTTTTTATAAATTTTGTAAAATCTCATTTTAGCCATCGTAATTTATATTTATTTTAAAATTAACAGGAGGTTTTATGTAATTTGATAGGGGACTATATTAAAAAAATACAAAAAAATTTGGTCCCAGGCCCGGGCCCTCCTCCTTATGGGACCAGGCCTCCTAGGTCCAGTCCTCTCTAGGACCAGGTTTTGGAGCTGGGCTTTTGGCCCCGGTCCCAAATGCCCAGCTCTAATAATGACATAATGGTTTCTAAATACACTCACACTCCATTTTATTTTAATTTTTAATATTTAATTCTTACATAAACTCCCAACTTTTAATTTTAAAATCATTGAAACATTTTTTTTTTCAAATATTTTTTTTGTTTTGATGAAAATATATTACAAAAGTTATAGAGAAAATAATCACACAACGAGATAAATCTAAATCTGAAAAAGAAAAAAAAAGTAAGTTTTAAATTTGAAATCGGGAAATAGGGGTACAAAAAAAAAAACACCTAATAAAACTTGTAATTAGGAAGAGTAGTGTAGGGAAAACATGTGAAAATAAAAAAAATCTAATTAAAGAGATTTTTTTAAAAATATATATATATAATAGACGGAGGACAGTGCGCAAAAACTCACTTCCTTTCTCCTTAATAGACTGAAGGAATATGACCAATTTTGGTAACAGTTAACGGAGTTTCAGCATGGGCTGTCACTAGTCCATGGACCATGTTATTAAGTTTGGTAAATTATCCAAATCCACAACAATTATTATTTTTTTTATTTATTGCATTGCTATAATGTCCCAAGCCCAACTCCCAACCAGAGCAGCAGTGAATGACAAATACAATGTTTGTTGTACGGTCTCTTTCTTTCTGTCTTCAAACACTTACACTTGTAAACTATTCAACAACTCACGGGCAAATCTAAGACTCAATCTCCTGTTTCAAATTTATTTATAAATAATTTTAAATCATCTTATCAATCAATCACCCAGCAGCGCTTCTTTTTGGCTCCTCAGAACTCGCTTTTTGGTAGCTACTAACCTACCACCCTTATTCCCAGAACTCTCTACACAACCTTCCTTTTGCCCAACATATAAAACACTTTAAAGAAACTGCTACTCTTTACTGCTCTTTTGTTTAGGGTTTTCTTTAATTCACTGCCCCAGTCACCAGACTCGTCCAAATGTACTATGGGCTCCATTAATGGCAGACTTCTCAAGTTCTCTGGTAGGTAAACTGCAATCTTTCACATCTCTGAAAAGTCTTCAAGGCTTCCCTGCTCTGCTAGTTTTCCTTCTACACCAATGACTTGGGGTTTCATGTCAGTCAAAGTGAGGTACTAAATCTTGTTCTGAAAAGTCTCGATGGTGAATCTTGATGGTCAAGATTGTATTTTTTTTCCTTCACATTGTTGACTTGAATGAACTGGGTTTGTTGTAAGTACAAGAATAATGTGTCTATTGCTTGTTCCCTATATTAAATGAGTTGGGTTTGATCTCAAAGGAAGGAAAAAAGAAAAAAAAAAAAGGTTTCTTGAGATTACACATAATGATGAAGTGTTTGATCCGAGAAAGTTAAGAGGAAAAGATGGTCTTTTGATGATGCTTAGTTGCTGAAATGTCTTGGATTCAATCCCAAATAAAGCTGAAAGATAGTCTAATGACACAACATTCTCACTCTATGCTTTCCTCTCCATCATCTCCATCCTCTTCACTGCCTTATAATAGTGATTACCAAAAACAATCAGCCCCATCAACGTCATCTGGTAATAAAATAAGCCCTGCTATTCTTTTTATCATAGTTATTCTAGCGGTTATATTCTTCATATCTGGTGTTCTTCAATTGCTTATTAGATTTCTTATAAAAAATAGATCTTCATCAGTATCTGAATCCAACAGATACCCAGAAATGTCTGGCTCTGAGGCTTTCCAGAGGCAGCTTCAACAACTCTTTCATCTTCATGATTCGGGTCTAGATCAAGCGTTTATAGATGCTCTCCCTGTGTTCCTTTATAAAGAAATAATGGGTCTAAAAGAGCCGTTTGATTGTCCTGTTTGTCTCTGTGAATTCTCAGAACAAGACAAGTTGAGACTACTTCCCATGTGTAGTCATGCTTTTCACATTGATTGTATAGACACATGGTTATTGTCCAACTCAACTTGCCCTCTTTGTAGAGGGAACCTATACACACCTGGTCTTGGCATTGAAAACCTAGATTTTGACTTTGAATATCCAAGGGAAGAAGATGGGTGCTCAGGGAATGTAGGAAGTGGAGTTTCTCTTGGCTCAAAACCAGCAGAAAATGAAATTATTAGTGAAAAAAGGGTGTTTTCTGTTAGGCTTGGAAAGTTTAGAAGCTCAAATGTTGGAGGTGGAGTAGAGAAGAGAGATGGAGAGGGAGAGGGAGAGGGAGAGGGAGAGGGAGAGAGTAGTTGTAGTAGTAGTAATTTGGATGCCAGGAGATGTTTCTCAATGGGATCATACCAATATGTGGTTGCTGATTCAGAATTGCAAGTGGCCTTATACCCCACTAGAGGCGGTGGTAGTACTAGTTTAAGGCTGTTGAAAGGAAGAATTGGACAAAACGAGAATTCCTCAAATGATGTTGATGTTGAGGGGAAGAAGATTAACATTAGAAGTAAAGGTGAAAGCTTCTCTGTTTCTAAGATATGGCAATGGTCTAAGAAGGGCAAATACCCAAGTTCTTCTGAAACCCATATGGGTTCTTATCCTGTCACAATAGTTTTACCACAGACCAACTCAACCCAGGGTTCATGAAGGTATTCACCATGTTCTTCACTTTAATCAGTCAATGAATGGATCTACTTCTTAATAAAGCTTTTCTTTTTAGCTTTTGCTTTCTCTTTTCTATGGAATTCAATTCTTTACTGTAGTGTGCAAATCCTTTAAATTATTGTCTTTTTTTTTTTTTTTTTGTTTGTTCTATACTGTTATCGCTAATGGCAATGAACTTTTATCTTTTCAGTGAAATTGCATGCATTTGTAAGTCTGAGAAAATGCTCTTCTTTTGGCAAAACTTTAGGCTTACATCATATGCGTAAGGATGTTGTTAATGCTGATGTAAAATGCCTTGAAATTACATGTAATCTGATTGAATTTTGATATAGTATTCCTTAACAAGTGATGAGTTTGCAACATTTTGGGAAATTGCAATTTTGTATGAAGTATGGGTCCATCATATCATGTTTTTACCATGTAATCATATTAAAAGAATATCAAGCTCTTTTACATGGGGTAGGCATTGACTCTATCCTGCCCCCCACCTCATGAGAGCCAAAAAGAAAAATGAAAAAGAAAAGTAAAGAGTTGTCAGATAACATGGTGATTTGTGGGGGCATTGGGTTTCTCTAGAACTGCTTTTTCTCGTGAAATATAACTGCTATTGCTATCTTTAGTTTCTTTCAATCTTCTACTGTGGGTGGCTGGACAATGAGATCCCACTGAAAAGTTCTCTGAGGAGACTTGTGATAATTTTGTATCTTTGAGATGAGTAAGTGGATTGTGGGGTCTCCAATCTTTAAATCAAGCAAGCTGCTTTAAGTCAATTAAACAAAAGAAAAGAAGCTTAAATGAGTTTCCCACGCAAACAGGATTAGAGAGTAATGTGTGTCAGATAAATTGTAGAAAAATTCTCACATCAGACTGCAACCATGAAACAACCTGAGTTGAGCAAGAAAACCAAAAACAAAAGAATAGTTGGTAAGTTGACATCACTATAATACCAACTCCACAATCACAATCCATCCACTAAAGTCAAGCACATGCAAATGATGTATATCTTTTTCAAGGTGCTGTAAAACAAAGCGGTCACAGAGTTAGAGAGAGAAATCTCTTACAGTAAAAGTAGGTTAATTGATAATGTATTAAGTCTTGGGAGTTGGTATTACCTGAAAATGATTTAATAAAGCAAGTAGAATTTGAAAGGTTTATTTTTTCGTGTGAATATGTGTAGTCATAGACTTTAAGATATCGCCAGCTGGTACATAACTTAAATGAGCTCTCCCAAACCATAAAATAATTTAAAAATCATGGACCATAAGATGTCGCTACCACCAGACAGTCACGGATGAAGATTGAACCGTAACCTACACGTCATCTGAAGCTGTTATTCATGCCAACTCCGTGTTGCAATTTGGACGGTTAACAATGGCGCTATGTATTTATCTACAAAAATACACCATAATCTTACAATCATAACATCCTGACATCTTAATCTCACAATCTTCTTTTATAATCCTAACATGACAATAAAATTGACATTATCATATGACATCTTAATCTCATAACCTTCTTTTATAATCTTAACATGACAATAAAATTAACATTACTATGTCAACTATCGACTTTGACTAAACATGAATATTCATTCTTTGAAGACGAACAATCGTTCTTTAAAGACTAACAGTCTTTTATTCATAAGAATTTATTGTTCTTTTATAAGAAATAATCATTCTTTATGAATGAATGATTGTTTATTCCTTCATAAGGAACAATCATTCTTTATAAAAGAACGGTTATTCATCCCTAAGAAACGATTTTTCGTATTTAATCTCTTGAATGTGATGAACGCTAACATGACAATCATCAACTCAGTTATCACATTAAGATTGTAAAATAAGATTATAAGCTTATTATTACTCATTTATTTAAGGAGAATAACTCCATGGTCCATTTTTGCTATTAATACAAAATCTATAATGTCTTTCAAAAAAATAAAAACTGAAATTAGGTGGAAGTAGGCAGAAATTATAGAAAATTTCAGCGTCGGTAGATAGCGTTGTTCTTGGTTCTTGGGAATGTTCAACCTTTTTATCCAATGCATGAACTCAACGAACTAATGTAAAAGATCGAATCAAAGTTAGTAGAATATAATTTACCACTATTTCTATTTCAATTTAACAAATAACTATCCATAAACAAGGAAGCCAGAGAGTTCAGTTCAATGCGAAACCAGTTTCCTTCTCTACAACTCGAAGGCAAAATGCAATTCACAATTTCGTAAAGAAAAATTTTTATAATAATGTACATGACGCGCCTAAATGCGGGAAAAAGTGTAAAGAAAAACATTAATAAATTTAACATATCACAAACTCAAGCAAAACCTCATACGCATTGCTTCAAGCCATTGAGCCTCCAGATAGAAAAATTTGAAACAAAAGACTTGCACTGTCACTACAGACTGCAAGAAGTTGATTCTCAGTTGATTGAAAAAAATAAGAACTCCTACATCAACATCTTCTTCTCAGTTGATAAAAAATACAATCTCGTGCATGAAAATCTTGAACGACTTTATCAACCTCTTACAAATCACGAGGGAAATTGTTGATTTGTCCCTCCTCCAAAGTATCTTTGTTGTTTACCTTGTAAGCTATCCTTATGCGCATAACAAGAGATTTCTGAAAATGAAATGAATTTGGTAACTACCAACATCTTGCAGAAGACAAAAAGGCGAGAGGATAAAAGGACATAAAGATCTTGCTAATTGTTCAGGATTGTAATAACTTAATTCGCCGATTCACGTTAGATATTGCATGGTAAGACAAACACACTAGCACCATCACCATGGCAACTTTAGAGATGTTACAGATGCCAAAGTACATCTAAGTGTGACAGGGAAGCACAATAAAGCACTTAAACAATGTGCTTATCATGACATGAAGATCATCTTATGTAAAGCCTCAATCTAATGAAGACATCTTACAGGAAAACGCCACTTTCAAAGGGAAGCCGAAAATACATGTAAGAAGTTTTAATATCTTATACCAGTAACTAAGGATCTTACGAGAAAGTGAGATATATAAGTAGAACACTTGTACAAGAAAACAGAAATATAGCATACTCAGGTCAAGCTATGAGATCCAGAACATGGAATATGCACATTAGGAAGAAATTACAATAATTTACCTTCCCATGTTGGCTGTTGGTGACCCTCAAATTTTGAGTGATGGACCCATTACCACTTGCAGGAAGAGTGTTGCCACTAGCTGGGTCTAAATGCAATTGCAGAAACTGTTGATAGAATGCAACAAAAGATATCAACTGCATACTTAGAAACATCTTACATTATTTGCAAACAACAATAGAAATCAGTCTCTGCTGAAAATAAGAACTATATGATAAACAGAAGTAAAAAGAAGATCAAAATTGACACTGCAACTCGTTCATCAGGGAAAGGGAGCGAAAACTCAATCAGGAGTTGTCATATAACCAACAGCGAAGAAATAAAAAACTATTAAACAAGGTTACCTTTGGAACTGCTGCCTGGAAAATAAAATCTGTATAAACATCAGGTGACAAATTTGTAAAAGTGGCCTGAATCACTGTTGTTTGTGGATTTCCAGGTGGCTTTGAGAAGTCGAAAGTTAACTTTAAGGCACTGCTCTTGAACGCAACTATAGATGGATAAGCTGAACCATTGTCCTCTATTCATAGAAAAGAATGCTATAAATACTTTTAGCAACCAGATATATGCCAAATAGAAGTCTCAGGGTCAACAAATTTTTACCAGGCTTTGGTGGTGAGTCAGTGGGACCAAAGCCATCCAACAAGTCCATCATTGAAGCAGATCCTCCAGAAGAAGCGCGTGCAGGAAGTGAAGGCATTGAATTGAGTCCATCTAATGCGGCAACTGGTGTTTTGTTATCCTGACTAGTGGATAATATGTCAAGCGTAGGTGAGTTGCTTTGCACAGAAGGAGGTGTTCCAATAGACAAAAGATCCAGTAGAACATCTGTCCCAGCTTTTGGAGCCTGGGTTGTGCCTAAAAGTTGAAATAAGACACTTGAAATCAATATTAAGATTATATAGATTAATGAAAAAGGTTAAAAAAATGTGGTAATTCAGATCAAAACATTGAAACATTTCATCTCCAAGACAACCTTTTCATTCCCGCAAGTCAAACCAACAATCATAAAACCTCACAGGAAATGGGTAAATAAAATGAATTATCAAAACATAAAGAGATCATTTTAAGCTTCCAGAACACTGTAATACTAATATTAATTGCACAGCTATATTACAATGCAGGAGAGTCTTCAGAGGATGGATTCAAGGTGAATAATTTTGGACCCCAATTTATAGGAACTACTGAAGTCTAGATAATGCCTGCTTTACTTACCATAGACAAGTCCCTTTAGAAGCCAAAAATTCATTTGTCAATTCCAGGATAGCAAGATTGATTGAGAAGGGATAAATATATCCAAACATCGGGATATTAATATGGTCCTTACTTGGAAATGGCTACTGTTGGCCTCAAAGAAGCAAACTCCAGAATGCCCATGAGACTAAAAATATGGATAAGGAAGGAGATGCAGAAATAGCACTCAGTTTTCCAGAAGTTCATGATCAAATTATGTGTTAACACGTCTAAAAACTAACCTGACTGCACTGAAGCTGGTGACAAATCAACACCAAGAAGATCTTGAAGAAAATCACCACCAGAGGAGCTTGGTGCAGGAGCATCATCAGCACTTAGATCAAGTAAGTCCACAAGCGGAGCTGCAGCAGGTTTGGCAACTCCATTTGGAAGGCTAAGTGAAGTCCCACCCATAGTTGATACTGTAGGTGGCAAAGAACCAGCTCTCCTTCCGCTGAAGGTTGCCTCATCCAATACTGGCATCCTTTCAACCAGTGCAGACCTGTATAAACTCATCCATCAGCTTTAGAAATTTACAAGTATGCATGATTCTGGAACATCTCAAGGCTAATAGGTTGGATACTAAAAACTTTCTGGCCACATACCTTATATTCTGATGCTTGTCTAGAATGGAATTGAACTCAATAGACCTCTGCTGCAATTCAAGTACAAGGCTCCCTTTAAGTTGAATGATTATATCCCTTATCCTCCTATAAAAATAATTCAATAAACAATTATACCCCAATGTCGTAAGAAGAGATAAGAAGGAAATGAAAATTAATTTACTTATAAAATATTGACTACAATTTACAAGAATAAAAAATGTAAAATCAAGAAATGATCCAAAAATTATGTTAATTCAGAGCTCCCTGATATGTACATAAAATAATTCCCATAACAGAATGTGATAAATAGTAGCATTGAAAGTAAAAGAACAACATACTTTGAACAAGATGGAAAACGTGAAGAGAGCTTCAAAAGAGCTATCATAGCCATTGCTTTTGTAGTGAGATCCAAGCTATGATGCCTAATAGCACTCTCTACAACATCAACAGCATCAGACTCTGTTACCTGCTTCAGGAAAACCAATTTGACTGAGCACTTACAAAAGTTACAAAAATACACAAACTAAGAGATATAAGCATTCTGCCAGTATTCCCAATAAATGAAGTAGCATGTTGCAACTATCTCTGCTGAAAGCAACGGAGTAGTTGAGATCCAAACTTGCTGTTCAATTAATTGATTCTTAGTCTAAGCACGAAGAAACCAAACGGCAAGGTGGACTTTGAAGACAACAAAAGATAAAGTACAAAAGCAAAGAAAGAAAAAGAGAGAGAGAGAGAGAGAGAGAGAGATTTCAGTGTTTCTAGTTTTAGTAACTAAAACTCCTCATGCATTTCTACACCTTAGCAAGTTAATAACATTTTACACTCAGAAATAGTGGGAAACTAGAAATTAAAACACACACACTAACAAAGATACACAAGAACTATCTTTTGTTCCACTAAAAGGGAAAGAGAGAGAGAGAAAAACAAAAGAAAAACAAAAAACATTTCACCATTGCTCAGAAGAAAGGGATCAGAATGATTACTTTATTATTTTACACTAAGAAATATTAGAAAAAAAATTAAAACAAGCACACAAACAAAGATACATAAGAAGTATCTTTTGTTCCACTAAAAGGAAAAGGGAGAGAGAAAAAGAAAAGAAAAGCAAAAAACATTTCACCATTGCTCAGTAGAATAAAGGGATCCTAAATGATTGCTTTATTTTATTCTTTTTTTCCCTTTTTTGGATAAGAAACGGTAACTTTGTATTAACAAATCTTCTTGCTCACACGTATAACCATGCTCTTTTTGCCTAAATGGCAACTGGAACACTAGAATATGACAAAAGCAAATGCATACAAACTAAACCATAGATAAGGGAGCACTCACAGTTATCGGATCCTCCATATCAAGCATTCCAACATTATTGACCAGCATGTCACCATATTCTCCAATGCACCAAACAGCCACTCGAACAAGGCACTCCTGATGAAAGAAAGAGAAAAACAATGTTCTCATAATAATGCACTAATGACATGCATGCCTGAATATTCAAAGCTCACAGGATTTTGAAATTGACTACATATTCAACTCAAAGGGGAAAAAAGAAAAAAAAAAAGGCATAGAGTACCTGTTCTGCTGATGTTTGGAATGCTCTAAACAAGGCCCTGACTGTATATCCGTGGAGGTCAGAAGCATTGCTTATTACAACAATAAGTGCATGCCATACTTCATCTTTCACAAAATTTCCAGCCTACTATGATAGCATGCAGATCAGTATTTTCTAGAAACAACATGTACATACAGAAGCTTAAATGAAAGACTAAAGACATCAGGAGAAACTTCTACTCATTATAATTAAGCTGACTGCATCGAATAAAGCTCAGTTATATTGTCATTTTGTGCATGAAAAGAGATGAATACCGTGAAAGATCAATCTGTGTAGGTTCAATTGCTCCAGATGCAAGATCCAGTAAATAGAAGAAAGAACACGACAAGATAGAATCAAGAGCTCCACATTTTTGACACACGTTTCGAAATAATTTTTAAGCCACTTGATTAATGCATTTAAATTGTAGAGATTGAATCAAAATTGTGCCATTTACAAGAGCATTAAATGTGCAACTTGCATTAAATCCCAACCATCCAAAGTGCCTAGATCCAAAAGGCTTACAAATTGTATAGTATATATATGTGTGTGTGTGTGTGTGAGAGAGAGAGAGAGAGAGAGAGAGGAAAATAGACAAAGGAACCATCACAACAATAGAGGGGAAGGTCAACAAAAGAACTATATGTGTGGGAAAAAGTGAAATCACTTATGACCAATAATATTTGTGTCCCTGGTTGCACAACCACATTACAACATCCATATAACTTATGTAGTTTATGTAAAGAATCACAAAATCGAGATGCAAATCATTTAATGTATCAATACAAAGGAATGCCTCAAAAAAAGATGCAAACATACATAAAATTTATTTAGAGAACTTGTCACTTTAACTTATACCTCAGAGAGAACCTTGAGCATCTGATCAATGTACCAGATTTTCTCGGGGGAAAACCTAAAGCACCAAAGAGTAAATGTTAATTGACCAAACGACTGCTGTTCCAACAGAATCTTGTCTAATAACACTAAAATTGAACTAAAAACTACCCCCCATACCAAAACCAAAACAAATTGAAAAAAAATATATATATATATCACTAGAAGCACATGGGCATGCCAACATCATCAATTTAATGATCCATTCACATTATTTAAGGACTTGCCACACGTCAATAGAGAATCAACTGTTTAATTGTCTCCCACTGTAGGCTAATATCTATCAGATAGGACTACTGGAACTAAAGACTACAAATAGCATTCACTATTTCTAGATTCCAGAGGCATTATCAACTCCATGCAAGTGCAACCATCATCCACGGCAAAAGGCATGAGTAAGACTTTTAGAACCAATATGTAAGTTTATTAAAGATAATGCAGCAAATATAATATAAGCCCAGTCACATATTTCTACATCCAAAGAAAAGAACTCTATGTATAGACAGGAGCAGAATAACTTACCTTTCGACAATGGAGCAAATTTTGGCAGTTAGATCTCCCTTAAATTCTTGATCACTTACTTCCAAATAATCTATTAGCTCTTTAGTTAAAGGTTTCACATTGCTCTCATTAATGAGAAGATAAACAAGTTCAAGTGCCCTTTTGCGAATTGAAGCATCTGAATCCTGAAAGGGTCAAACAATACATCAAGTTCCATTTCCAAAATAATATTGAAAAGTGTAGAAATTGCAAAATGCTTATATCTAACAACACCAAATAAAAGGAACAAAAAGTGCGAAAAGATAAACCAACAAAGCCAAAACAATGGTCAAATAGAAGAAAACAAAAGAAAATTCTCTAATTCAAGCAACAATAGAAAATACTCAAAAGGAAAACCACTGCTGTTCATTTTCACCAATATATACTTTATAAATTGGATTGTATAACCATCAGAAAATAAATAAATAAGAAATACAAAAAGCAAGATGGGAGAAAATTCTTAGCCAATTATTAGTGCTATATCAAACATGATATGAAAAATGTCCACTAATACCTTTACACATTCCAAGATTGTTGCCCTATGCCTTTGCACTGCTTGAGCATCTACCGCAATAGCCTTCATCAGCATGTTTAAAGCAACATATCTGAAGTATACATGTAATTTAGATTCAAAAGCAACCAACCAACGCAGAGATGGAAAGTAAACACTAAAGATTTGAAGATCATTATTAAATGTTTTAGAACCTGATCAAAAGTTCAATGTGCTAGTACATAACAAGGCCTTGATCAAGTGAAGATGGATTTTAATAACCAAGCAATTTACACTATTTTATTCTGGACTCCCATTAGCTCAGAGGCTCATTGCAAGATATAGGCAAAAAACATCATTCCCCAACATGACGTGATAACAGCATTGTGAAAATAGAAGGGCAGAAAAATTATACTCATAGGGAACTAAGCATTAAAGCTGTTTGTCTCTTATCATAAAAAATGAACTCATCATAACCGACAAAGAAATAAGTCATAGGAAAAAAAAACCAACCTGATATTGTTGTCACGATTGGACAAGAATCTTCCCAGGATATTGATAGCAAGCACGCGTAGTCCACCATTATCTTCAATGCTCATGATAGTTTCAACACATTCATACAGAATGGCATTCCCTGCATTTTTGTTTGACTCGGTTTTTGTTGCCACCTAGGAAAAATATAGCATGTGAAATCTATAAATAAATAACAGATTAAATTTCCGTCCATCAATGAAGCAAACTGGCTCCAAGAAGAACAAATTTCAACAATTATCAGCAATTGCAATTATGAAAAAATTATGAACAAGCTGATAAATTTCCTAATTTTCAAAGCAAAATCAGCACACCCTTAATACCGTATTCCATTATTGTGCTAGTAAGAACATAAGGAATTTTTTCACTCAGCAATATTTTGTGAAGTAAATTCTATTCTTCTTTCCCAGTATTTATATTTTATATTGGAATAGTTTACCTCATCAGAATATTGTTCTAATAATGGGTAGACTTCTCAGGAAATAGGATTAAATAGTATAGTAGATGCTAATGACGGGAAGGCATTACAACGAAAGCCACCTCCAGTTGATAAGATACTGAGAGGCAATCACTTCAGAAACACATATGCAGCTTGTGATTGGTGCGGTACAAGTATACCAAAGAGCAAATCATTGGTAAATCAAAACTATTTCAAAACTTCATACAGCACCTAATAGAATGAGATAAAGCATTGAAAGGCAACCAACCTGCGCAAGTATGTCATTCATGCAGTCACTGGCGTCAACATCCCCATGGCCCAACACACGCAAAAGCCTAAGCAATCTTATGTGGAGAAAAGGGTCTGTTATGCCAGCAATGTCATATTCAGGTGCATATGGACTGTTTACGACTTCCCTCAGAGTTCTCACCAAACTGTCCAAGCATTTCTGAAATAATGATCGTAGCAACTTGCTATTACAATAACCATATCATCAAAGAATAACACAAAAATGACATAGAACAACATAAAAAAAATAATAGAACAAATTTATAAAAGATCTAGCCATATTGAAAACTAAACAAGTTCATATGCTTTACCAGAACAAAAATGCAGAATGAGGAATTTAAACTAGCACCTTGACCATAAAGCCGAAATTTTAATATGAAAACATTGGCCACTAACAAAAGCCAGAATATTCAGGAGTTGATTCAACTGTTGCAAAATGTATGCTGCAATAAGGACATTCTACTTTTAACCATGATTCAGGAATATAACACATGAAACTAACCCAGACCCCAATAATACGGTTCTACCAATGGACTTTCCATACATTTCAAGTAAGTGGGCATAACAGCACGAATGCTCCAGAGAGAACCAGAGCAGTAGTCTAACAATGCAACCAATTAGCTAACAGATGATAGCTTTTCCACACAATAACAGGCAAATAAAAGCATAAATTTCATATGCTGCACAGCATACTAGCATACTTCAAAATAGGCAAGAAACAGGTCAGGCAATAATGATCAATATACCTTTCTGAAAAATTCAAGGGCTTCTGTACTGACTTTACATAGATCTGTACATAGTTGGATTCCTGTTATTAAGACTCCATGATGTTTTTCTTTAAGTAAGGCAGCAGCAGGATTGATAAAATTTTCTGCTAGGTCTGGAACTTTCTTTATAATCCTAATGGAGCACAATGCTGCCTAAATAACAAAATTAAAGATAAACATCAAATTACCAAATAATGCAGTGTTACATCAGCAAAAAACTCATAGAAAAGTATGATGATTAAACATGTCTAATATTGACTTATTTAATGACGTCATCCTTTAAATCATAACAAAAATGTAAAGACCAATTCAGCAAAATTTCCAACATTGGAGACCACACCTTAGAAAGAAACATAAGCCAGTCAACTATTTCCAAGACGAATCACAGAGATCAAAGAATCAATCTGACAGCAAAAATAAGAGCATCTATAAAATCTGTCTTTATATTCCATTACACATCTTAAGAACTGCATATATATAATATTTATCTCCTAAGTAGGAAACATGGATCAGGTTTTTCCAGTAAGGAGAAGAAATGATTGTAGAGCAATGATTACAAGTAAAGTGTCTATTTATCAAATGGGATGATGCTCCTCAATAAAACTTTCTATCAAGCATCCAAACAGCAGTCCATCTGCTCAGAATCACTAAGATATATTCCATACGTCAGCAACTTTCCTGAGTTGATTAGATATTGCAATCTTCTATTAAAAAATTTGGTTCAGCATTATGTTAACAGAATATTCATGTTTGAAGATAGCAGCTAACATTTAAACAGTTCTGACAAGAGCACTAACGACAACAAAGGTCTCACCATTGTAAAACAAATACAGCCTAAAATATGGATCCAATTCACACAAACCTATAACCATGACATTGGTGGCCAAAGGAGCCTAGCATAAAAAAGGTGCAAAAGGCTCACTTTTTTCCGAATATTTGGATCTCTAAATTGCAGCAATCTTTCTACTTCAGGAGCTAGATCTCGAGCCATTTCTGCTGAACAAATATTTCCCAAAGCACAAAGAGCAAGACCCACAATATACTGATTCGTGTGATTGAGATCTCTAAAAGTAAGTTAAGGTCACTGCAGAGGATGGTTTGTTCTGGTAAAATTACCACTTTAGTAACAAGACATGTATTCTAATGTAGAAGATTATAAAAAGAAAAAGAAAACATAATATTTAATTGAGTTGACTAAAAGGAAAAGTCTACTTTGGAAAAGGATACTGCTTTAATGAGTTTGTGACCAACATTAGAACTTCCTGTCTTTCATCTAGAAGCAACATAAGGCCAAGATACCCAATTCTCTTCTCTGGAAATCCAGCAGATGCAATAGACTTTAGGCATTCCATCTGACCAAAATGTGTGGGGTAACCAAGCNAGCACTAACGACAACAAAGGTCTCCCCATTGTAAAACAAATACAGCCTAAAATATGGATCCAATTCACACAAACCTATAACCATGACATTGGTGGCCAAAGGAGCCTAGCATAAAAAAGGTGCAAAAGGCTCACTTTTTTCCGAATATTTGGATCTCTAAATTGCAGCAATCTTTCTACTTCTGGAGCTAGATCTCGAGCCATTTCTGCTGAACAAATATTTCCCAAAGCACAAAGAGCAAGACCCACAATATACTGATTCGTGTGATTGAGATCTCTAAAAGTAAGTTAAGGTCACTGCAGAGGATGGTTTGTTCTGGTAAAATTACCACTTTAGTAACAAGACATGTGCTCTAATGTAGAAGATTATAAAAAGAAAAAGAAAACATAATATTTAATTGAGTTGACTAAAAGGAAAAGTCTACTTTGGAAAAGGATACTGCTTTAATGAGTTTGTGACCAACATTAGAACTTCCTGTCTTTCATCTAGAAGCAACATAAGGCCAAGATACCCAATTCTCTTCTCTGGAAATCCAGCAGATGCAATAGACTTTAGGCATTCCATCTGACCAAAATGTGTGGGGTAACCAAGCATGTGAATGAACATGAGTTTGGCTAGGTTGCGATGCCTATAATCATGATCATTTTCATTAATTGCAGCACGAATTGCAGCACACTCTTTCCTCACAACTGCACGTTCTTCGGCTGCAGTTTTACAGGCACGTATAGCCCGAATCATGTCCCTACAACAAAATGGAAGTTCATACCATTTAGCAAAAAAAATGTAATGTCAATGTTAATAATTTAAGTCGACTTTTCATTACCCAAGAAAGAAAACACACTAAAACATGTAAAATGACTGATTTGATATGGTATACAACAAGCAAATTGAATAAAGAGCCATGACAAAAACATCGGTTACCCAAAGAAAGACTAATTTCATTCACCAATTATAACAAAGGGTTTATGCTATACAATGAATATTTTCCATTCTTTAGTGTTTGAGCCATAAAAATACATATTACACATCCTATTTCCCAAAATAAACAAGGGCAATTGCTAACCCACAGTAATAAACAGGTCCTAGAAAATCACATATTCAGGGACCTACAAGAGAGGAGAACTTTAGTTTCTACCACTACCATATTTCTGCCATCTAGATTATTCTGCTTATTAGATCATTTCAAAATCGTTGAATGTACATGTGTAGAAGCAAATACATGCCATTTAACAAGCACCTATATTGCCTCCCAGGAATAAATATTGATTAAGAAAAATGGATTTAATCCGTTTCACCAAGTAAAACAAGATAGTATGCAACAAAAAGGTGGCTCCAGCTTCTTCACAGACTAAAATTAGAAGTGACCACATTCTAGAATGATCCAAAATGTTGTACAGATAAAATTGTAATAAATGAGGCATAAAAGAATTATTTTTGACTACCTAGTGTTTTTTCTGCATCATTTTTCACGGTTTTCTCTTATCTTTATGTGGAAGTGCGAGGCCGCTTTTGCCCTCTTTTTTTAAATAAAATATTTACCTTAAAAAGATAAGAGCCCAATGGCAATGGTAGAACATAAAAGTTCCAAATAGTAATCATCAGATACAGCTACTCACCATCCTAAAGTCAGATACAGTTCCAAAGTGCCATTGGAGGGGAGGTACAGTAGATTCCCAACAATCTAAGGAAAATAAATTGAGAATACAATCACCTCCATCCTAAAGTCAAACTTGTTTAAATTTAAGATTAGACTGGATCTTGGAAACCATGATTATTTAGCTCAGCTTAAAACTTCAATAGCTAACACTTAATTGTCAGATTTTAGTAATATATCATATTTACCATCACAAGCACCNATAAAAGAATTATTTTTGACTACCTAGTGTTTTTTCTGCATCATTTTTCACGGTTTTCTCTTATCTTTATGTGGAAGTGCAAGGCCCCTTTTGCCCTCTCTTTTTAAATAAAATATTTACCTTAAAAAGATAAGAGCCCAATGGTGATGGTAGAACATAAAGGTTCCAAATAGTAATCATCAGATACAGCTACTCACCATCCTAAAGTCAGATACAGTTCCAAAGTGCCATTGGAGGGGAGGTACAGCAGATTCCCAACAATCTAAGGAAAATAAATTGAGAATACAATCACCTCCATCCTAAAGTCAAACTTGTTTAAATTTAAGATTAGACTGGATCTTGGAAACCATGATTATTTAGCTCAGCTTAAAACCTCAATAGCTAACACTTAATTGTCAGATTTTAGTAATATATCATATTTACCATCACAAGCACCTTGAATATATCACACATTAAAATTGTCACTCTAAGTTCTACGATATCTTTGAAAACCGACAAATATTTTCTAGGGTTTGTGAGTTAGGATTTACTTATTTGGCAAAACTAATGCATCGGAAGTCCAAAATTGTTAGGGGTTTGATATCTTAGTTATAAAGGCTCCCAGAAATGACTGTTAGTAAATGTCTCTATGAAGGTTAAATAGATAGTTTCAAGGATAAAGGCACCGAGTACCTATCTATGCGGTCAACGCAACTAAAATCACAATACAATGGAAAACTCAACTCTGAATAAAATGTGTCCATCAATCATGAAATGCTATTTATAAGGCCACAGACCAATATCCTAACTGAACCATCAACTCTATCAACACCATTTTACAATTGCATCTCCAGTCAGACCACTTGCAATATGCCTAAACCAATTTGATATCCAAAAAGCTTCATATAGACCTGAAAAACAGGCAATCCCTTCAGCGACCTATACCACATATATTCATATAAACTAAGATATAGACTCTTCTTCATATCATCAGTTTCTCGCAGCCAGCCAACTAATGGACCTTCTTTCTACCACAAAGCGGCAAAAGCTTTGGTGAAACTCGGCACTTCTTAACCTCATCAATGAGCAGCAGATACCTCAAGAGAATGACTACATCAGGACAACAAAAAGTTGTCCACTTAAACATCTTATTCAAATCTATCACCAGAGCGGCATTTTTCTTTTCCTTTAAAAACAAAGGATTCATCCAAACCATTCTCCCTTGATGATCTTCTACAATGTAGACATGTCCAAATTAGGTTCATAAAAATGACAAAATGTATGATGAACCACCCTCATAAACAAGTTTTTTCAGCATTCGAGGAAGGCCCATAAAAATGAACAAAGGAAAGACATTATTGGTTTTCAGATCTATGTTTAACACTTCACGTAATTGTGGTAGTATTCAAACTTTCAGGTAAAGAACAATTGCAGGTTGCCAGACAGAACAGTTCACCAAGGCACTGAATCTCTAAGTTCTCTATCGCTTATCGAATTCCAGACTGTAATACACTTACACAGCCAACACCTCTCCACATTCTACACTAAGAATTTAACCTACGAGCCGTTCTTCAGTATTCAGTAATTACAGAAGACTAATTAAATCCTAACACCACGTCCAATCATGGAAATAAAGCAACCTATATAACGCCAATCTACTAAAACTACAATTAACCGAATCATATATCAACTTAAATTCAAAATTCAGCAATATAAACAATCCACAACAACACCAGATTAGGCCACACTTGATCCGGTGTAAAACGGTAAGGTAACAGTAAGGTTCAGGAACTCACCTCAGACGCGTACCGGACGAGAAGGGATTCATGATTGGGTCCGTAGTGAAGCTCTAGGGTAAGCTCAATCAGATCCAATTTCACACCGAATCAAAAGCGCGCGTAAGACCAAACAAAATCAATCACGACTGGTATCTATTTTTGTGGAAACAAAATATGGATAGTCCGAATTTGAAAAATCGGTATCCAAATTCCGAATGTTTCAAGATCTGAGAACGGAGATCTGATCAAAGTGTTTTCTTTTAATTACTCAGCGATAAATGCCCTGTTCATTGTCTCTGTTAACAAATGGGAGGAGAAATGGAAAAACACGAGCACTAAAATTTGTTTGTGGAAGTGGTGATTGGATTACATGTAGGTGATGTAAGCGCCTCACTTGCAAGATCTGATTGGCTCATTAAACGTGGGGCGTGTGAGATGGTTTGGGTTAGGTGCTTTGCCGATGCGTGATTTGATTGGTTCGTCAAAAAACTGGCGTCACCGGGGATTGATTGAGTCATTTTTAACCTTTAACAGGGTGCGTCCATTAGTCATTAAAAATTCAAGTCCGTTTTTTAATTTTCGGTTATGGGCTCGGAGTTTTTGTTATTTATATCTGCAACCTCAACGGACCTCGGAATAAAATTATTTTCTTTTTTGGGTTCTGTCATTTAACCGACATGTCGTGAGTATCTCAGATCATCAGCATACATGTTGTTCAATATAATGTCTTAAAACTGTCATGTCATTTGAGGAGTTTTGAAAATTAATTACTAGCTATCACATATTCATAATATATTTTTTCCATGTCTAAAAAAACTTTTTGAAATATTTGAAAAAAAAAAAACCATTGAGATGACATTTATCTTAAATTTATTTGATAAAATAATTTAAATTTAAGTTAAAGGTGAAAAAAAACAAAATTTTAAGAGAATTATTGAACAGAAATAATTATTTTAATTGAAAAAACAACCTTAAATAAAAAAAAAAATGATGCAATAAACACCATAATATTTTAATATAGAATAATATAATATAATATTAGTATTATACTATATGATATTCACTGGGTGCACCAGCATGCAACACGGCATTAAAATTTTGGAAAGTGATTAGTAAATCGATTGGGCCTATGCAAATAATGGGCTCACAAAGAGAACATATTCTATGTGACAGAGACAGAGATTTATATTATTATATAGAGATGGGTATATGATATCAACTAAACAAACGTACGAAAGAAGGGATTCCCAAAGTCAAGGTCAGTCAAGAGGCGCTTGGTTCCTCGTCACACTCTTATTCACAAATCATGGTCATGGTGTCTTCACGTTTCTCTTCACTTGCTCTCGCACTCTTCATCTTCCTTTCCACTCTCGGTAAAGTAACCTTTTTTTCTTTCTTTTTTATTTCTCGTTTAAAATAATATTTATGATCTCTTTTTTTTTTTTTTTTGTGTGTTAATTTTTAATATGTAATTAGTTTCGTCGGAGTTACTTCTGGAAGAAGGTTACACTGTAACGACCGTGATCGACGGCCATCACTTGAAAATCAATCCCCACTCGGTTATCCCTCGACCTGGATCGTCTGATCTTATACTCCTTGATTCTGCTAATAGTCTCTTCTACACATTTTCATTTCCCCTATCTCAAGGTAATTAATCTGACAAAAGTTGGGAAATTTATACTAAATCGTTTAGGTTTTCTGGTGATCACTGAAAGAGTTTTCTTTATTCTTGTGTGAAGAGAATGTAATGAGGCGACTATCAGGAAACGGAGCCGGATACCAGGACGGGGAACCGGGTTCGGCTCAGTTTAAAAAACCGAGGAGTTTTGCGGTTGATTTGAAAGGGAATGTTTATGTTGCTGATAAGAGTAACTATGTTATCAGAAAAATCACTGACTCAGGTCTGTTACCCGTTTGCTTTCTTCTTGTTGTTGCTGACTATTTTTTATTGTCGTGAGTTGTGAGTTAGAGCATATAATAATACTTTAATAAATGAAAAAGCTTTTATTATTCAATGGTGTGGTATATGCATGTAATGTTTTCGGCACCATATGAAAGGATTATCTAACATAAGACCTCATTAACATATACCGTCTATTCCATGCTTAGAAAATTACGTTGTTGCATAAGATTAAGACTTTCAAGACTCTTTGTTGACCTTCATCAACAAAATTCATGCATCATTATATCTTTCAGGTCTTCATGAAACTGCATCAATACAGCAAACATTGCATAGATGCATCAAATTAATATTTTCGATGCCAGGAGTCTTCTTTAATCAGTACCCTTTGGACACGTTCATTTACCTTTTCCATTGGTGATGTGAAAGTCAATAAGTGGCAGTTTATGTCATATATTTCCTTTGTCTGTTAATGGTTTCTAGTGATTGCTTGAACATGCACTTTATGGGTATGTATCCATACATTTGGTATGGTGATTCTCTTGATACAAAGATTATCTAGTTATCTTGTACAAACTGTTTATTATTAAAATTGACATGTCACTTTTTCAGAGTGTTTGGAGAGTTTGCTGCCTCCTTTCATGGGTGTGATATAATCTTACTCAATCAGTTTTATTGTTTCACTCATGGCACGTCTCTAGGTGTGACTACAATTGCTGGAGGTTACTCAAAGAAAACGGGAAATGACGATGGACCTGCACAGAATGCAACATTCTCATATGATTTTGAGTTAACTTTTGTTCCTGGTATATGTGCTCTATTGATATCAGATCATGGGAATCAATTGGTTCGCCAGATTAATCTCAAGGCAGAAGATTGTTCAAGAAGTTCTCATTCCGGTATGTTTTTGGTAAATTATTATTTAAGTCAGCATGTATCTGATTCTTATTTACGTTTTTGAAGTGTGTGTATGAACAGTTTGTGTTTTTCAAAGGAAGTATGTGAAGTTGAGGTTTTAAAAGGAGCAAAGTCAAAAGTGGTGGTTGTAGTCAGTGGACCACAATCTTGGACATGAACATTTTGGATGTTGTGAGGACTGGTTTTAATGACACTAATTAGTCAAATTTCTGTATTAAGGACCTGGTGACTGAACCTCAAATGCTTAATAAGTCTAATTCTTATCTCATATATTCTATTTTAGACTTGATTTACATGTTGAAACTCATTTGTTTACCCTAAAATATTTGAATATAGTCCTAACTTGTCTCTTTTTTTATTTTTTTGGCCAGGACTAGGAGCTGCTACAGTTTGGGTTCTAGGAATGGGACTTTCATGTTTAATTGGCTTGGTCATTGGAATTGTAGTTCGCCCTTACATCATCAGTCATGTAAGTTCTCTTGCATGCTCATCTAAATACTTAATGATAAATGGAGTATTTACACTTTTTCTAACCAGACTATGTAGACAGGAAGCCCTCAACCTTCTCCTTCTCAACATGACATGGAGGGACTACCAAATCAATCTAGTGAAACAAGTACAGATACTTTGCTTCGGCATCAGAAGCGTAGTTGCTAGCTCTACAGTTTATGCACTCTTGAGGAGGATCTTTTGGTTGAGCATATCCTATATCTCCCTTATGTTTAGAATCAACAATTTAGAATCTAAAACTTCAGACAAGGTTGTATATTTGCCTAAAACTTCAAACACGGGTGTATCTTTGCTTGATTGTAATGATTTGGGTAGTTGTGCAGATCAATTGAAAGATTTGATAAGTTGTGACGGAAACCTGGACTTATTGACTGAAGATATGTTGAAGCAAGGAAATGAGAAAGAAGGGACCACTGATGTTTTGTCTGTCAATCATGGAAAGTTAGATGACATGATAAAGGCTAACATAATGGGATTTTCAAGGGAAGCTGAAGACTCTACTCCAGTACTTGGATCTTCAATAGGTAGTTCAGGTTTGGTCAAGAGAAACAAGTAGTTGACTTGAAAGGCACATCCTAGTTTATTTTAACCGAAGTTGTGAGGCCTGTAAAAATCTAACCAGCTTTATTTTCTGACATTGTCATCTGGAGTATGATTATGTGTTTGCTTATCTTCATTTGATTTCTTTGTTTTATTGAGTTTCCCGTCCCCAGTTAAATTGTGTTCAAATTGAATAATTCTAACAGATAGCAGATATAGAGTTGGCCTAACGTGTCCTATTGGGGCCATTGTTTCATCATCTCTTTAAATAATTCTTGTTTAATTCTTTAATTAGTGAAGGAATGTACAATCATGTGTACAAAAACTCGGGTTCTAAGCATGAAAGTGATCAAAAAATGGCAATAGAATATCTTTTTTTTAAGTCTTAGACGTCTCTTAAGTCTTACCACACAAACATAATTACATAACTATTATTTACTATTGCATCTCCATCCTATTATATCAAATATAATACTAAAAGAATATTTTAAAATATTTTTTTTCTTTCTATTATTTTCAGTAATTAATTTATTTCATTATTTTTTATATATTAATTAAATTTAGAAATAATTCTTTTATTAACTAACTACTAATAATAACTTTATTAATTATTAATAAAATTTAGTATTTATTAAATCAAGTAAACATCACATTTAATAAAAAAAAAGTTTACATCTCATATAAAATGCCACAAAAAATTAAAAAAACATAAACAATAAAAATTCTATATGATAGTATTTAATCTATCGGAATACAAATTGTTTGTAATTTATGTTGTTTTTTTTTTTTTTAATTTAAGTGTTAATTATTTTGAGTTATTAAAGTTTAATATTGTTTGTAATGAAGTTTGTTTTTATTTTTCATCATTTTTTTAATTATAATATATTATTATAAATTAACAATTAACGTAAAAAAAATAAGGAATAAAAAAGTTTTGAGATGTTTTTATACCAATTTGGTTACCATTGGAGGTGCTAACAAAGAGAGTTTGAACCTTCTTTGTCGTATAAAAACCAATTAGCAAGAAATGACAATGTTTTTCACTCACGAAATTATAGGCAGAGTTTGTATATCATTTTGCATTCAATCTTTTGTCTTGTTACCCCTTCCATTCATTAACATTTGCGAGAATGAGACGAAAGAGAAGTTTGTAAACAAACTGAAATGCAGAGAAAAGCATTTGATCACTCTTAATAGCAGTATACATTACAAAGAGGCTTTCATATTATGGCCACCTTTAGCTTAATAGAGCTTACATTCCATAAAGCTACTCCCTTCTCATAACAATCTCGAACCACTATATCCTAACTAATAAACTATACAAGACCAAAGAGTCATAACTCCAAAACTGTCTCCAGTATATAATCAATAGCCATGTTTTAACTCATAAAATTGGCTCGTGCACGGAGATGTGATGATCATAGACAGATCTCCATAATTAACTGGCTTTATGACCACAGATTCGCGCTTCCCATCCTGCTCCTGAACAGCCCCAAATACAACCTCATTGGTTTTCTCATTGCTCTCATAGTAAGTATGTGGGGCAGAAGATTGATACCATTATGATAGTTGTGCTGTCTCTGCTGCTGCTGAAAATCACCATCCCATCCATCATAGATAGCTCGACTTTGCCGCAGTTGATGGATCTTTTCTGCATCCTTGGACATAAGCTAAGTTTTTTCGTGGGATGGAGTTCTTGTATCAATGAAGTGGCTCGTCCTCATCTGGGATCACAAAGCTGTCTTTTACGGCCAAGCAGTTGAGTGCTTCTGCTGTTTGAAGGTGCTGGTATAGGCTTTGATATTGATGGTTCAGTGGCTTCTTCCTAAAACCTGGAAATATTCCTCTCAAAATTTCCATAGCAGATGATTCAGTGTTGACAAAAAGCTTTGCAAGGGATCCAAAGAAGCCTTCTTCTTGCTTCTCCTGTTCATCCTCCGTAGGAATTAAAGGCGGCCTGACTGATTTCAGAGGCTTCTGATATGGATTTGCTGTGGTGCTTGATTTTATTGTCTCATTATCCTTCATACAAAGGAATATATATCATGTCAAATGATACTTCAACTTTGATCTATGCCTCACAGGGAGACCAGCTATGTTAGGTACCTCAGAGTGGTACATCTAAACTGGTGTCCTTTTATACTGGCATCGCATGTCAGTAATGCGAAATAAACCAAGAGACAAATAACACAATGACAGCATATTTTATACTACTATGAAATAGAATTTTTGCTCCAGGCTAAGAAAGAACTACTTTATGTAGCTGTTGAATTTTATAATACATGAGATAGATGATTTATAATTCTGTAAAGCTTTCCCAATACGTTCTTCAATTTACCAAACAGAGATGGAAAAATTGCAGTTCCCAATAATTCCACTGAGAAGTTTATGCTTAAATGGAGAACTCAGGGCATCTCCAATGGGAAATGGTGTCCCCAACGAGACACCAAAAGCCACACCAATTTTGGTGTAGATGAATAGCATCACACCAAATTTGATGTAATACTATTCATCCACAACCAATTTGGTGTGATACTATTCATCTACCACAAAACATATTTTATTTCCTTATTTTTGTTATTGTAATTTTTTTAATTTGTATTTATGTTAATTTGATTATTATTTATATTAATATTTATGATAATAAATTCATAATAATTATATAATTCAAAAAACAATGAAAAATTAAAAACAAAACTTCATTCAATGCAAATATTAAACTTTAATAACTCAAAATAAATTAACACTAAAATTAAAAGAAAATACAACATAAACTAGAATAACAATTTAGTATTCTGGCATATTGGTTCCAGATCCTCTAACATCATCAAAATATTATTCTCAATATTTAATTAATATATACAAAAATAATTAGTGAAATAAATTAACTGTTGAGAATTAATAGGAAAAAAAAAAAAGAATATTCTTTTTGGTGTAATGGGTTGGAGATGCATTGGTGTAACTTTCATACCATTTTACTATTGCATATCCAACCCATTACACCAAAAGGAATATTTCTTAGAATATTCTCTTTCTTTTTCTTTCTATTAATTCTCAACAATTAATTTATTTCATTAATTATTTTTGTATATATTAATTAAATATGGAGAATAATATATTTTATTTATTAAATACTAATAATAACTTTGAAAATTATACTAATTTAATAAAATTAAGCATTTATTAAATCTAGTTCTTTTCAATATTTTCATGATCTTAGAGAATCCAAAACTAATCTACCGGAATACTAAATTGTTATAGTGTTTTTAAATTAGTGTTAATTTATTTTGAGTTATTGAAATTTAATATTTGCATTGTAATGAAATTTTGTTTTTAGTTTTTCATCATTTTTTGAATTATATAATTATTATAAAAATTAATATAAATAATAATCCAATCAAAATAAATACAAATTAAAAAAAAATAACAAAAATAAGAAAATAAATGATGCTTTGGTGTGGATGAATAGTTTGATGTGACACTATTCATCCACGAGTAATGTTACATTTACACCATTCTTTTACACCATATTCATTACATCATGAAGTGGCATATGCCATAACCACATAAATTTTTAATTATTTTGAATTTTTAATATTATAATAGAATTTGTGTGGTTGTAGCATATATCACATCATGATGTAATGAAAATGGTATAAAAGAGTGGTGTAAATATAGCATTACTCATTCATCCACACTAATTTGGTGTGGCTTTTGGTGTTTGGTTGGAGCAAAATTCGAACACTATTTTGGTGTCCCATTGGAGATGCCCTGATGTACAATATTTATCCTATCACATGGAAATGCTCACAAATCTCAAGTACACAAAAAAGAGGATTGAATACTTACGTTCTGCGAAGACACAATTGTACCCACTCTACGTTGCAGCAAAGCCAACATGTAACCAAAAAAGCCAGCAGCAAGAAGTACTGCAATCCCTGAAAATAACGAAGAAGAATTTACCTACAAATCCATCACTTTTGTAAATAAATGAAAGGTAGCATTTGAATGCAGCAGTTTACCAAGAGGAAAACCACTTCCATATTGATAAGCACAGTCATCAAAATTGAGTTGGATTTCCCTAATAGCTTGGTTCCCTCTGTCTATGACAAGTAGAGAGCAACTGCTTCCAATGTAAACCACATCAAAATCATTAGAAAATCTGGCATCTTCACTTGGTCCATCTAAATGGCTACCTCCACGGCCTGATTTCCCTCCAGCAATCGTTGTAACCCCTGCAGAAAAAAAATTCAACCATATCAGTGAAGGTTATTACAATCCCAACTGCGANGCAGATGATTCAGTGTTGACAAAAAGCTTTGCAAGGGATCCAAAGAAGCCTTCTTCTTGCTTCTCCTGTTCATCCTCCGTAGGAATTAAAGGCGGCCTGACTGATTTCAGAGGCTTCTGATATGGATTTGCTGTGGTGCTTGATTTTATTGTCTCATTATCCTTCATACAAAGGAATATATATCATGTCAAATGATACTTCAACTTTGATCTATGCCTCACAGGGAGACCAGCTATGTTAGGTACCTCAGAGTGGTACATCTAAACTGGTGTCATTTTATACTGGCATCGCATGTCAGTAATGCGAAATAAACCAAGAGACAAATAACACAATAACAGCATATTTTATACTACTATGAAATAGAATTTTTGCTCTAGGCTAAGAAAGAACTACTTTATATATCTGTTGAATTTTATAATACAATGAGATAGATGATTTATAATTCTGTAAAGCTTTCCCAATACGTTCTTCAATTTACCAAACAGAGATGGAAAAATTGCAGTTCCCAATAATTCCACTGAGAAGCTTATGCTTAAATGGAGACCTCAAGGCATCTCCAATATGAAATGGTGTCCCCAACCAGACACCAAAAGTCATACCAATTTTGATGTAAATGAATAGTATCACACCAAATTTGGTGTAACACTATTCATCCACCACAAAACATATTTTATTTCCTTATTTTTGTTATTGTAATTTTTTTAATTTGTATTTAAATTAATTTGATTATTATTTATATTAATATTTATGATAATAAATTCATAATAATTATATAATTTAAAAAACAATGAAAAATTAAAAACAAAACTTCATTTAATGCAAATATTAAACTTCCATAACTCAAAATAAATTAACACTAATTTAATAACACTAAAATTAAAAGAAAATACAACATAAACTAGAATAACAATTTAGTATTCCGGCATATTAGTTCCAAATCCTCTAAGATCATCAAAATATTATTATCAATATTTAATTAATATATACAAAAATACTTAGTAAAATAAATTAATTATTAAAAATTAATAAAAAAAAAAATATTCTTTTTGGTGTAATATTTGATGCAATGGATTGGAGATGCAATAGTAAAATGGTTTCATACAATTTTACTATTGCATCTCCAACCCATTACACTAAAGGAATATTCTTTAGAATATTTTCTTTCTTTTTCTTTCTATTAATTCTCAACAATTAATTTATTTCACTAATTATTTTTGTATATATTAATTAAATATTGAGAATAATATATTTTATTTATTAACTACTAATAATAACTTTGAAAATTATACTGATTTAATAAAATTAAACATTTATTAAATTTAGTTCTTTCTAATATTTTAATGATCTTAAAAGATCCAGAGCTAATCTACCGAAATACTAAATTGTTATTCTAATCTATGTTGTATTTTATTTTAATTTAAGTGTTTTTAAATTAGTGTTAATTTATTTTGAGTTATTGAAATTTAATATTTGCATTGTAATAAAGTTTTGTTTTTTGTTTTTCATCATTTTTTAAATTATATAATTATTATAAATATTAATATAAATAATAATCAAATCAAAATAAATACAAATTAAAAAAAAAATAACAAAAATAAGAAAATAAATGATGCTTTGGTGTGACACTATTCATCCACACCAGTTTGGTGTGGCTTTTTGTGTTTGGTTTGAGCAAAATTCGGACACTATTTTGGTGTCCCATTGGAGATGCCCTGATGTGTAAATATTTATCCTATCAAATGGAAACGCTCACAAATCTCAAGTACACAGAAAACAGGATTTAATACTTACGTTCTGCGAAGACACAATTGTACCCACTCTACGTTGCAGCAAAGCCAACATGTAACCAAAGAAGCCAGCAGCAAGAAGTACTGCAATCCCTGAAAATAATGAAGAAGAATTTACCTACAAATCCATCACTTTTGTAAATAAATGAAAGATAGTATTTGAATGCAGCAGTTTACCAAGAGGAAAACCACTTCCATATTGATAAGCACAGTCATCAAAATTGAGTTGGATTTCCCTAATAGCTTGGTTCCCTCTGTCTATGACAAGTAGAGAGCAACTGCTTCCAATGTAAACCACATCAAAATCATTAGAAAATCTGGCATCTTCACTTGGTCCATCTAAATGGCTACCTCCACGGCCTGATTTCCCTCCAGCAATCGTTGTAACCCCTGCAGAAAAAAAATTCAACCATATCAGTGAAGGTTATTACAATCCCAACTGTGACCCATACACCAAAAACAAAATTATATTTGATATTTCCCTAAAAATTCTTTCACATTGTTTGACATAAGTGGAAGAAAAAAGTTTATCTTTTGGCAGTGGAACCTCTGAATGGAACGCATATAAAACTTACCTCCATCACTTATCTTCCTGATTGCCATATTCATAGTATCTGCAATGTAGATGTTTCCTTTGTCATCCACAGTAAGCCCCATAGGGTGGTTCATCCTTGCCTCTCTAAGCTTCCCATCAACATGTCCAGAGTAACCTTCAGCGGATCCAGCAACAAGCTTTGGTCTGCTGTCTGCAGTTCCCCCATGAATTTGATCAAAAACAATAGCAGGAAACAAACAGCATGGATAAAAATACTTAATCATGTTAGAAAGATTGTACAAGAATGGAAAACAGTGTTTAAGACCCAAGAAAATTGCACTCCCGAATTCAGAACATAAAAGATATAACTTCAACTCATAATCTTCTGAAAACAATCTAACCTCAATGAACTTCCCACGGCTACATGATTTAAGATATTCCACAAATTAAAAGGTTGGAAAATTCAAAAAATAATTATTATGAATCAAGCAACAAAAGAAACCCACTTACATAGAGACAAAGAAGAAGAGATCCTGTAAATGTTACTATTAGCAGAGTCCAAGATCAGAAGGTCCCCGCTGGGCAAGACCTCAACTGAGAAAGGTTCAATCCCTAGCTTACTTCCATCAAACACAGTCTCCACAGTATACCCACTCTCAAACTTCATCATCGGACGTCCAGAAATCGCTGCACACACAACTCCCATGAATCCAATCACATTAGATTCCAATCTTTATAAACCAAAAACAAAACTAAGCAGTAGAATGAGAGATCTTCACCTGTCTTGGTGGTAGTTTTCAGTGACCACAACCATTTCATGGCATAAGACATAGCATTTGTGACAGACCCGCTCACAATCTCTGCAACAAAGCCGTAAAAATAGTAAATTTAAGCTCAAAAGTAAGAACAGATCAAATGAAGGCAGCTTCACTTACTTGCAGGTGAAGTACCGGAAGGAGCTGAAGATACACCACCAAAGAGAAGCAAAAAAGCAAGACCGAGAACCAACACATTGTTACCCATTACTGATATTCACAAAAGAAACTCCAACCAAAGCTTAGATACGAAAGATTTAAGCTATAAAACTTCAAAGCACTACAAAAGAAACCCTAGTTCATATTGGGTTTTGTTCAAAAAGGTAGGATTTTTATAATGTCAAAATAAAACAGTCGCCACTGAGCTGAGTGAGAGTATGGGAGTGTAAATGGGATTAGAGATACTGAATAAAAAGGAAAGTGTTTTTTTTTTTTTTTCCTTCGAGGGAAATGTAGAAAGAGGAAAGATGATGATGCAAAGAGACAAAGAAAAGAGAGAAAAAGAGGAAGAAAAGGCAGGGGAGGCCAGTGGGGATGAGAGAGAGAAATGGGAAGAATCATATTCTGTAATTATGTTGAGTTAAATAATACTATTATTAGTAAATAAATGTAAAATCTTAACAACATTACATTTATTCTCTTCTCTACCTAAATTCCCTCGCTGTTTTAAATAGATATTATTACTTTTAAATGATCTCTTTATGAGTTAAATCGCCCATGTGACACAGATTAGTGCTTGCTTACAGCAGGTAATAAAATATTAAATATGTTCCAGTGGGCGTTGTGTTCTTAGTGAGGTCAATTTTAAAATTATAGAATGTAAAATTGAGTATAAGAATTGGCTGAACGTCCCAACTAAAACCCTGTTGCTGGCTGGACCCCTTATAGCGAGTTGTCAAATGGCAGTTTATGAATTGAACAATGCCACCTGAAATACACCTGTATTGACCTCTACCTCTATTGAGCATTGTAGATTGTTAGTTGTGAACTAGAACTAGGACAAGGACTAAGACACTGCCCTGTAATCCATTAATTCCAAGAAAGATCATCATCATTCCTTGGTACATGAACCAAGATAGCAAAATTCTCGATTCATTTGAAGCTTAATTTTCTTTTAATGGGTTCTATCCTTGGGTGATAGCAATGCATTTTGGAGCACCAAGGTGAATGCAATGGTCTACAACTATAGTCTTTGTAGTTGTTTTTCTACTTTTCCTGATTGAAATGTTGATGTCTATATGCAATTAATAGGTATCCAAATAAGGGAAGAGATTGGTGTTAACAATTCCCTTCTATCTTTTCCTCAATTTGTGTTTTTGACGTTGAAAAGAGAACCTTTCATATTGATAATCGTCCAACTCTTTTTTTTTATCTTTCTGGGATTCTCTATGCCTTATCTCGAACCCAATTCATCACCTATTTCAACTCTACTTCCATCTTGTACTCTTAAAAAATAGCTATGCTTTAGTGTTATATTATATAACCTGAATTTAGATTGCAGAGAAGCTTGGACAACTTATTTGTGCCATGGATTTAAATAAGGATACTGAGGATAGGACTTACCTATATGTTAAATTCTTGTAATAAACATAATTGATTTTATGCAAATTCAATGAACAAAGAAAATTTGTCTTCATGTAGCTGAAACTGAAATATACCCAGACCAGATGTATACTCAAATTCATTACAATGAAATAAAAGTTAGATTAAAGGTAAATAAGTTTTCAGATTACTATAATCACAAACAACCATATTAAACACATGCAACAAGCTCACTAACAATTTAACTTCCCTATCAATACAAACAATATACAAGATTTCTATACAAATTGTATAAATTCCTTCAATATTTACTGGTGCCACAATAGCAGTAACGAGGGCAAATTATCTATAATCAGTCCACTCATAGAGAGTTAAAAACAGATGCTCAATCCAAGCTCCTCTCTAAAGGAACAATGGCTGTGAGTGACTCTTACAAAGCCAGAATCTATCAAATTTCCCCAATCACCCATGTGATGAAATTGGTGGATGGGTATAATTCATACATAACACGACACCCACCTCTGATTAATCAGTCGGCCAAAGGGACATTGCACTTGGGTAAACAATAAATTAGTTGTTAATACATGCAGAATGAGAATGTTTTTTTTTTTTTTTTTTTGGGATTACAAACTAAATTATGTATTAAGACATAAACATAGAGCTGTACAAGTTAAGGTGCCTTCAATTCTATCGGTGAGTATAAAAAAAAAGAAAAATTTTATAGACAACTGAAATCTGTTCCTAAGACTGGCACCAGGGTACATAATCCATGTCAACACAACATATCGCTAAGATTCTTGTGTCTACCTCGATCCGGACCAAGTCACTACAGATTACATTCTTCAAGTTCAACCCAAACTAAAGTCTTTAGGAACAGGAGCTCAGCAAAAATCTAAATTTCATCACCAAAGTTCCACCCTTCATCATATTCCACCGAAATTATCGACCAAAAATTTTCTTAGATTACGGGGCAGAACCCCTTCAAGCAATTAAAGGATTCCTGTATATGGATAACGGAACTGATAAATTTCTGCAGTTCACAACTCAAACAGCACTCTCAAAAGAGACCTGGTTTTGTGCAAGATACCTAGGCTTTGAATTTGTGGCATCTGCGAGACCTTTAAGCATTTTCACAACATCAACAGCATCATCAAGATAATACTTGGCCTTGCTTGGTTTTCGCCCAACAGTGCACGCAAATATCTCAGGAGGTGCAGGCAAGGAATGACTAGAGAGGGTATTCAGTATGCTCTCAAACATATCTTCATCAGATCTATCATCTCCAACACACATCACAAAATCCGGTGGCCTCCCACTATTGACCATTTGCAGAAGAACCTTTTCAGCAACCAAACCTTTGGTTACACCCTGCAGTTAATAGATCATAAATCATTAATGAGCAAACTTGGCCCACCTAATGCCTGTGCGTGAGAGAGAGTTGGTAATGGAGGTGGAAGGAAAAAGAAAGAACAATTGTACCTGAGGCTTAACTTCAACAATATGTTGACCCCTCTTAACAACTGCTGGTTCATTCGCCAGAACATTTTCCAGGTGATCCAGCATTTCCTTCGCCTGGCAGGACCCAAAGTCAGGGTCTGCATCTTGATATTGCCATACCAAAGCACTCTCTTTAGTCTCTATACTAGAGCCATCCGTTGCCTCTGTATACAATTTCATGACAGGTTCCACAATCCTAATCCATTCAAGGTCAGCACCTGGGTGACTGGTTTCCCAGTCAGATGTTTTACTCCACCTAAGTAGAAGAAACTCCATTGATTTATTAAAAAGAATTTAAAATTACTAACAAAGGACTCAAAACTTATGTATAGCCAGCATACCTTATGAAGTATCCATGTTCAGCAGCTATTCCCAGCATCTCACATGGAGCAAGCCAATCACTGAGAGTTTTTCTCCCCCGCCCACTAACAATAAACACAGTGTTCTTAGGATCACTGCAAAGAGTTTTCAGGATATCAATGACTTCAGGGCTGGGGGACTTAATAATAGAAGTTTCGGGAACAACTGTACCATCATAGTCCAAAAATATTGCCCTTCTGTTTGTCCTTTTGTATGCTGAGACTATATGGTCGCTAGACAACCTCCTAAAACTAGGAGATAGAGATACCACTCTGAAACCCAAGCCCCAACCAATCCCCCAGCACCGTTTACTATAATGATCATGGCATGCTCTCTCCAAATCTTGTGCAAAGCTGCGTGCCCAATAAGCCACATCGTGAGTGCTGACATACCGATAGTGTTTCTCATGCCGCAATTGCTTCTCAGAATCAGACAAGCACACAGCTAGATGTAAGGCCTCAGCTACAGCCTCAATGTCCCATGGGTTGACCCTAATTGCTCCACTTAAAGAAGGTGAGCAACCAATGAACTCAGACACAACAAGCATGCTTGTACGAGGAGATTCTGCATATCTGCCAATAGCTGCATCCAAAGTTGGAGTTCCCTGCCTGCAGACAATGTATTTATATGGAACTAAGTTCATCCCATCCCTCACAGCATTTACTATGCAGCAGTCAGCTATAGCATAATAAGCAGACTTTTCATAACGAGGAACATGACGATCAATCAGAATCACTGGTTCATAATCAGGTGACCCATAAACCTCATTAATTCTTTTAGCAGTTAAATAAGTTTCTCTCCTTGCCTCCTGGACATCTTTCCCAGAGCTCCTTGCAGGATTAACAATTTGAACCAAGACTATATGGCCTTGCATTTTGGTATGCAGCTGTAATAGATGTTCAAGAGCCAGTAGTTTCAGACTAATACCCTTAAATATATCCATATCATCAATACCAAGAATCACACTTTTCCCATCAAATCGTTTTTGAAGCTCTCTAACTTTAGCAGAAGTAGAAGGAAGATCCAATACAGATTCAAGCCGACCCATATGAACACCTACCGGCAGTATTTTGATATATACTGTCCGGCCAAAGTAATCAAGTCCAATATGTCCACGCTTAGATTCATAGTCAAGGCCCAGCATCCTACTGCAGCAGGATAAGAAATGACGCGCATAATCAAATGTATGAAAACCAATAAGATCACAATTCAGCAGGCCCCTCAGGATTTCATCTCGAACAGGTAATGTTCTATATATTTCTGAAGAAGGAAATGGACTGTGGAGGAAGAATCCAAGCTTAATTCTGTTGAACCGTTTTCTCAAAAATGTCGGAAGAACCATCAAGTGATAATCATGAACCCAAACATAATCATCATCAGGATTAATTACTTCCATCACCTTGTCTGCAAATAATTTGTTAGCAGAAACATAGGCCTGCCAAAGTAAACGGTCAAAACGATCACCATGGTCTGGGCACATGGGCAGCATGTAGTGAAAAAGCGGCCACAACTGCTGTTTACAGAATCCAAGATAGAACTTCTTCTGCAGGTCATGAGGCAGAAACGTTGGCACACAATTGAAATCCTCCAGCTTCTGTGCAACTTCTTCCTGTTCACTTGGATCAATGTCAACCTTGAGAGACCCCACATAGATAAACTCACTCTCCAAGGAAAACCCATCCTTCAGATGTAGCAAAAGGGAATCCTCATCTAAGCTGAAGCACCATTTGCCAGATTCTGCATCCCTTTTAGCATGCAATGGTAACATATTTGCCACTATAATCTTCCTCTCACGACTACTAGATGAGCTAACATCTGAATCCTCATCATTATTGCCATAACCATCCAAGTCAGAGATAATTCCAGGAACAGTCATCACCCGAGGAAGACCTCTTGGAGTGTGAGGAATATCCAACAGACCTCCAGAAGCCAAGTCTAAAAAATTTACAGATGATCTTGATGCCATTACTGGATAATGAGAATTATCTTACTTAATGATGCAGAAGAGTACCCCCACGGTAGAAAACCTTTGAATAAACAAGCCCACAAATCTACAAAATATATAGAGTACCGATAACAGTTAATTGCTGCCAGTGCAGTGACAAACAATTTGCACACAATAAAAAGTAAGTTCATTCAAATAAATTAAGCAAGCATCACCCACAGAATTAAGCATATATATTTTCATTCAATTACAAGAACGCAAAGTATAAATGGGCACCCCTTGCATCTATAGATTGTTACTACAAACTCTTCTCATCCATCAAAATTATAATAAATTCCATCTCCCTTATGTAACTCTGCTTTCTTGGTTCTTGCATTATGAAATCCTTATAAAGATATAACATCATTACTAAAAATAACCATTCAAAAACTGCACCCATAACCATTGAAATAAATAAGAAGTGGTAGAAATGAAATAACAAAAGCAATGGTGAAGATACAGTAGTATCTAATGGCAGGATACCAGTGAAGGTGATCATGGATGTAGAATGAGGATGAAGAGAATAGTTCATTAGCCCCAATGCAGATAGCATTAATGGTAAAAGAAGTAGTAATATGAACAATTTATAATGTCAAATAATGTTTACAGTATCAGTTGTGGAAGCCTGTAATCAAAAGCTTAGACAATGTAATGAAACCTATTAAGTGGGCAGAATATCAATGGCTCACTTTGACGGAGCTGCAACAATGACATTAATATGAGTCAAAGGGCAAAGATCCCAATCCCAAAAGACATGGCCAACTCCTACACTTGCAGGCAACTCCCAAAAACGGTACCAAGAGAAGGATTCGAAATTCCTTCACTGCTTTTCTTAGTATTGTATTTAATTTAGGTTGTTTGAACAAAGGGAACATGAGAACCAATGAAAAGAGAAGAATATTTCTTCAAAATTGCAAGACTTTCCCCCCTTTATTCATCGAAGAAGGGTATTTATAGAGAAGATGGACAGAAAACTCTCACCTGATAAAAGCTCATGTGACAGATATCCTCAAGTGTAGTGGTATAAATGTTGTTTCTACGGATAACTGAGGCATGGATTATAAACTATTGCTTGCTGTGGTTGTTCCCAGAGTGGATTTTACAATGATAGATATTTTATAGTTTAAAGATTTAAAAAAAAAAAAATTAAAGTTTTTTGAAAAAAGAAAAGAAAGAAAAAAACACATTTTTCCTTGAACAGACGAAAAGCACACAATAGAAAAAACGAAGTCCTAATTCACTAATAATGCTGTATATCCCCTATAAAAATTATAAGCAAGGCCAGAGATTATGATTCTCAAAACACTTAAAATATTGTTAACTATAAACTACTTGAGGGCGACTTGCTCAGCCAAAAGTCAGCAGTATTCGCTAATTCTCTATCATATTAACCCCAAACGCTTTCACAACAACACACAAGATCTTGAGCATAACAACAAATAGGAGAACATCGCCCACTACACATAAGTGTATGCCCATACTGAGTCTAAATGGACGGTGAGAAAACAACTAATAAAACAACCTTCAATTAGTGGTAGTACACAAAAGCAAATTGGAAAAGGGACACAACACGGAACTTCCCCTGTTACATAAACTATAAATGAATAACAATGATGACAATAATACCCAAATACAAAAAAATAAAAGTTTCATGAACAAACAAAAATATGAGAATGGGTTTGTTAATTATGATACAACTGAATTGTCACTCAGTTATCTTATCTTAAACCAATCTGCACAAACGTTGCTCAAACATCTCCTTTTCCGATTATAATATAAACATCGCATAAACCATTTTATGCCTATACAAAAGACAGAACCAAATAACTTAAAATAAGACAAAAACTAGTCAAACTCATACCAAATACTTCAATAAGTTAAATAGATATAATAATAAAAATAATAAAACAAAGCAGTAAGTTTTCAGATAAAGGCATAAACAACAACTCAAAACCATTAGATCTACAGAAACCCAAAAATTCCAAAACGAAAATAAAAACGAAAATAGAGATCTCACCTGAACAACCAAAATGAATTTCAATAAAATGATTAGATCATCAGACTTCAACCAGAAAACTGTAATCACATACTTCCTGCAAAAAAACAAAAACAAAATTACACCACTACACGCTATAAACAACGATAAATAAATACAAATTCAACCTAAAGCCTACGTTTGGCTGTCGAGAAAACTGTGGACTCAAAACATTCTAAAATCTAAGAATTCATGTTATTGTGGTTTGAACATGACAAGAAGAACGTAAAACAGCCATTTCAACCTCAGTAAAACTAATGATTCTAATTCGTCAATTTAAGAGCAAAAATGACTACGGAGATAACAACCGCAATTCCTCTTCTTAGCTTTCAGTTTCTCGGCAGCCAAACAGAAAATACGAAAGCCGAAGAGAATTGAACACCAGATCACGCAAAGAACGAACGAACTTCAACGGTCAAATACTCAACGACTTTCAACCTTACCGTTAGCACTAACGTTAAAGACTCCGGCGTGTAGAGATGGCTGTTAAATCGGTCGCAGGAAAGTTCCGTAAAGTCGAGGCGACAGAGAAGAAAGAGAGAGATAGGCGCGCGTATTAGATTTATTTATTTTATTTTTTTTCTACAGAGTGTAATGAACAAAAGAAGAGGATATGAAAAATTATATTAATTACGTGTAATGGATAGACTTTGATAAAGGTAACCAGAGTTAGATTTTAACTCTAGTAGTTGGTAGTTCACATATTGGGTAGTGGGGGTTATTTACGAAAGTAACCTCGGGTTATTAATGAATTTTCATATTGGAGTTTTGGAAACAAATCCAAGCCAAATCCAAGTTGGTCTCTTTTTAAGAAAGTGGAGGAATTGGGGGAATGCGTTGGTTGGTTGACTAATTGACCACTTTGTTGGAAAGTATTTGGAAATTAAAATGAAGTTACCTAATGTTAGGTTGGGATTTTTGGACTCTTTTTTAATGAGGTGGTCAATTACTTGTTACATGTTAATTCAAAGTTAACAATTTGATGATTGTTTGTTCATTTCGTTCATCACGTGATCAATATAAAAACACAAGAATCAAAATTATCAACTAAAAACTAAAAAGCCATTATCTTTTTTTTTTTTTTTTAATAATTGCGGGTGTTCGGGTTAACTTACGCACACATTAGTTAATCTCTCGGGACCCTAAAACTACCGACCGAATAAGAACTTTAGTGATCACCCTTATTAACAACTGTGGAAACTCAAACTTGAAAGATCATGTTATATCATTCTCCTACTCTTTCACCCTCAAATGGACTACAATATTATAATAATAAAAATGATAAAAGAAAAGAGAAATGCTAAAAAGACTATTTTTCGGGCTCTCGTATTTACAATTTCTTATTTAATTTGTTGCTTGTAGGGTAAGAAAATGAGAAAAAAAGGGTGGAAAAGAGAATACTTTAATAGTGGAGAAAAGGAAGGGTTAAAACAAAATTTGTTCAAGGATATTGTTGGTGGTGTTGTTAGTAAAGAAACGATTTATGTTCCATCCAATACCAATAGTGAGGATCTAGCTTTCCCTATCAAATGTCTAATAACTATAATTAAATGAAGAAGAAAAGATTAGGTCAAATGTAGATAAGCGAGTAGTAATGTTTTGTTTTGTTTATATACATCGTATATGACCACTACATGAATTACCTAAAATAAAAGCATTATCTCTTCTTCCTATTTCTTATTATTAAAGTAATGTAGACATGGGAAGGCACTACTTTAGACTTGGCGCACGCCATTTATGACTACTTTTAATGCCCCTTCATTTTTATTTTACTTTATTTGTATGGTATATCCTAATCTCTTAGAGATGCTTCTGAAACTTTTACTATTAATTTAATTAAATGTCAAAATTTTCGTCCATTCATCACGTTATTGGTATTGCTAAAGCTAGTGCACACATCTTCATGATGGAATGATTCTTATATAATTCTAAAAGTTTACGGATATCTTTTTTTTATTTCTATGTTAATTTTATGAGATTTGATAAGCAGTAGAAAGTTGATAGTGAAAAAAGATGAGCTGGTTGCTCGTTAATGACAGCTGGGTAAAGCTACAGACGGTCCTAAAACAAATAATAAAATATATATTTATGAGAAATGATAAATACAACGAGGAAAGAAGAAGAGGCTTGACTCGACTCCGCCATTTTGACCCAAACCAGACAGAACTCATCACTTCCAACCTGGCAATTCGGATAAGAACCAAAATATTCCATTCAACAATATTTCAATCACATGTTTATTATTTATTTACATTATTACGCTTGGTTGCCCCAAACTATTGGTCTATCTTAATACCTCCGCGGCTCCTTATCCCACATTTTTTATTTCTCCTTGGTCGGTAGCCTTTATACAAATAAGAAAAGAATAATACTTTGGGTACTAATGGATGAGTACTAATCTGTGTACTAATTAAAGCATAGTACCCGTACTATGCACATAGTACGGATACTATGCTTTAGTTAGTACACATATTAGTACTCATCCATTAGTACCCATAGCATCACTCATAAGAAAAAGGGCTTCATTTTGTTAAATTATGCTATAAAAAGGAGTTTCCAACTGTCATAATTCTTGTAATTGAATGAAGCTATTAATATAGTCAGTGTCTCTATATAGTTGCAACTACAAATATTAATTTAATGCAAAAAATTTACAATTTGATTTTCGTGTCAAATTTATTTGTCCAAAGAAAATCATATATCACCATACCAGCCATTTAATTCGCTTTAATTAACTAATAATCAAAGAATAATGGCATAATGGTAATTGAAAGGAATATAAGGGATAGTTTACTTTGACGTGATTGGCACTAGTAGTGTTGTGATGGGAGTTTACTTTTGTTTCTCATCTTCCATTTTCCTCGTCCCGTTCCCCGCGTGTGGACAATGATGACAACCCACGTGTAACAATCAGTTGTCCCCACAACAACCAAAGTGGACAACACTGACCACCAATAAATAAGTCCACCTCAGGTTATCCAATTACAACATACACGTGGTTACCACGTGAGTGGAAGGGAGGTGGGTTTGAGGAAAATGAAGAAGATTTAACGTGGGTGAAGTGGGGCCCGGTTTATCTGGTCGCCGCTGTTCCCGCGATGGCGTGTTGAGATATATTGGGTGCTTCGTCCCTATCCAAAACTCTTCTCCTGGGACCCACCTGCCTCATGGAATGTTCCAAACGCACCTTTTATATTTCTTTTTATTTTTTATAATTATACTTTTAAATCTATTTTCGGAGGAGAACATATTGTAATATATTATGCTAGCAAAGGGCTACACCGTGGATGATGCATTACTCTAAAAATTAATAATATTGCACCAATAACCTTTTTTCACAAATTTTTTCTCACAATCCTAATATAATAGCTCATAATTAGTCAGTTTACAATATATCATATATGAGTCTTACTAACTAATTACAAACTGACCAATTACGAGCTACTACGTTAGGGTTGTGAGAGAAAGTTTGTAAGAAATTATTGTTAATGTAGTATTACTCCTCTAAAGGTGGAAAGATAACCTGCCCGACTCGTGGCGGGTTAAGCCAAATTACGGGCCGGGCCTAACCCGACCTGGCAACCTCTTTGGCCAAAAGGGTTGGCCGAGCCTAGCTTGCCAACCCTAACCCGACGGGTTTTTGTGTGGGCAAGCCAGAAATTTTTTTAATTTTTCTTTCTTTTGTGTAATTTCTTTTTAGCTAACTTTTCAAATATCAATATTTCAATTATTATTATTTTTTTTTTTTGTTAACATTTCAAATATTAATTCAATTTTAATTATAAGAAAAATTAGATTTATTCATTTATCAAAAAATAAAATAAGAAATTACAATAATTATTGTCTCGCTAAAAGTCTTACCAAGAAAAAACCAATTGGGACAAAAACTTAGTAAGGAAAAAAAAGTACAATAATTGACAACTAATTTACAAATTATAAAGTTACAATATACAAAACAACTAATTTGAGGGTTGACTAAGATCTCTCTCATATATATCATCTAAATTATAAAATCGAAATGATTCTATTAAAGTATCGTTGACGACCTCGTATTGATCCTAATGGCGCGACCGTTCCTAATCTCGAAGACATGTGAGGACTTTAATCAACTTTGGTTAAAGTTTAGTCCTCCTGTCGTTTAAAATTCTTCCACTTGTACTAAATGTTTGTTCGGATGAGACAGGAAAAGAGAAAACATTCAGGGCAAGTCTTGATAATACTGGAAAAACATATTTTCTAGTTTTTCAATATTCTAAGACATCAAAGTTGATTCTTTGTTGTGGATCTGCTAGTAGCACGTCGGGGGTTCCCAAATATTGGTGAAGCTCATTACTCTGTACTTGCATGGAGGACGGTAGATTTGTTGTTGATGCTTCTTAAGAGGAGGCTATGCTTCGGGTTTGGGTCTTCTTCGGCCTACTAAGTGCACTCTAGGAGTTGAAGTCTTCATTTGTGTCTTCTGATGCTACTTCCTCAAGTATTTCGCCTCTTTGCTGGTTCTCATACATGTTTTTATATTGCAAATATACCTCTGCAAGACACAGTTTTATCTCTCCCAGTTGATTGACATATGCGAAATCTCGTAAATTTTCACTTAACGTGTTTAAACCATTTTCTAAACCCGTTAATTTAATTATAGGATCAAATATGACAATTAAACAAAAAAAAAAAAAAAAATTTAGTTTTCAATATTTTTTAAATTTTAATTCCATTGCCTTTATTGGTCCTGCTAAAATTTCATTGTTTCTGTTTTTTTTTTTTAAATAAATATAAATTCTTTATAATTAGATGTATTACTAATAGACTAACAGGATAATACACACAAAAAAGTTTTAAAGTGGATTGATAAAAAAATTTAAGAAAAGAATGAAATTTTTGAGCTATATGTCAATCACTGTCTACAAAATAATGAAAACCCCAATTATTTGCTACAAAATAACTAATTAGATTTGCATAAGATAAACATGAATAAAGCATTAAATAAGTATTATTTCATCTAACAGGCATGTCTAATACAAAAATTGTAAGAGATATATTTGATTTTATACAAGCATCTTG